CTCTCTCTCTCTCTCTCTCTCTCTCTCTCTCTCTCTCTCTCTCTCTCTCTCTCTCTCACACACACACACACACACACACACACACACACATTTTTTTAAAGCTAAGGTTGGGGTAGAATGAAGGTAACCTAGTCCCTCTTAGCCTCAGGAGGTGAACTTGTCCAAAGGGTAGAAAGAGATTAAGTTAATAAATTCTCCTAAGACTTCAAATGACAGTTTTTCTTTTTGACTTCTGGACACATGCCTATACAGAGTGACAGGCCAGAGTCTGCCGTGTCCCCAGTCCTTGCTGGAGCTGTAGATACACTACAACACATCTGGCCACTTGTGTTCCACCTTCCCTGCCCCCTCCCCTTTTTTGGTTTTTCGAGACAGGGTTTCTCTGTAGCTTTGGAGCCTGTCCTGGTACTAGCTCTTGTAGACCAGGCTGGCATTAAACTCACAGAGATCCGTCTGCCTCTGCCTCCCAAGTGCTGGGATTAAAGGTGTGCACCACCACCGCCTGGCCAAACTGTTGATTAAAGGACAGTGACACATATGATTGCATTATTACTCCTCCTCCTCTACACCACCTACCATGTCTTTTGTATCAGATCTGGCTTGAGACTCTCTCCATCACAGCCTCCTCCCAGACACATGTGCCTTCTAATTATATAAGTGTGTTGAAAATAGTCTCATGTAACCCAGGCTGGCTCAGACTCAATGTGTAGCTAAGAATGATCTTAAACACTTGATCTTCCGGCTTCCACTGGGTGCTAGGATTACAGATGTGGGAAGTCACACTGGCTTGAGACATAACTTTCATGCCAAGCTTTAGAGTTGCTGAGGGACAGCATGTATCCTATGTGGGAGCAAATGCTGGCCTTTTCAGTGTGGATCTGCTATGGTCTGAATGTTAGAGTCCCCTCAAATTGATACCTTGAAGCCTACTCCTCGCTGCAACTGTCTCAAGACTTGATTGAAGTGGTGAGGCCTGCAGGAGGTGGTTGACAACATCACTGCTGGGGAGGGTTGGTGCCTGTGTTAGTTAGCTTTTCTCATGATGGCAAATTCCTTAGATACTCAAAAGGCGGAAAGGAGCTGGGCATGGTAGAACATGCTATAATCTCAGCACTTGGAAGATGGACTCAGGGGAATTAGGAGTCCAAGGTCAGTCCAACAAAGTGGGAGAAAGGGGAAGAGAACTGATTTTATGTACTTTGATTCATATTTTTTTTCTTTCTTTTGTTGATGTTGTTTTGTTTTGTTCTGTTCTGTTTGAAGCAGGGCCTCACAGTGTAGCCCTGGCTGGTCTGAACTCACAGAGATCTGTCTACCCCTGCATCTTAAGTGCTAGGATTAAAGGCATGTACCACCACATCCGGCTTCAACTCACATTTTCAAAGGTCTCAGTTTGTGGTCATCAGGCTCCATTGTTTTGAAGTCATGATGAGGCAGAAGGAGCATCATGGTAGGGAGGGATCAAGATGCAGACAGAAAGAAGCCAGGATAAAATATGCTCTTCAGAGGCACCCACGAGCTGCCCCTGCCTCCAACCAGGCTCCACCTTCCATGGTTCTACCCTTTACCAACAGTGCATTCAAATCTAGAATCCATCAATGGATTAAACCCTTCATTAAGGCAGAGCTCTCAGGATCCAACAGGGACCCAGAGTTCTTTCCTAATCCCTAGGCATAACAAATGAATCAAACGACATCAAGATTAACATGACAGTTTCCTTATCAGCTCCAGCAGCCTGTTTGCTCTTACAGGCCTGTGAGGACACAGAATGTGCTAGCCGTGTTTGTTTTTGAGACAAAGTATCATATAACCCAGGCTTGATGGTGACCTTAAACTTCTGGTATTCCTGCCTCCACCTCCCAAATTCTGGGATTAGAGGCAAACAGCACCATACCTAGTTAATGTGGTGCTGGGGATCCATCCTAGGGCTTCCGGAGCGATACGTCACATCTCTGGGCTCTGCGGCAGTCTTGACATTATACTTCCTGGACTCCAGAACTGCCAGAAATGTTTCTGGTTTTAGCTGCTGTTGTTATTTTGGTTTTGGTTTTCTGAGACAGGATCTTTCTATGTAACTGTGGTTGACCTGAAACTCACTGTGGAGGTGACACAGGCCTTATGCTCTTGATCCTCCTATCTTTGCCTCCCCAGTCCTGGGGTTACAGGAAAATGATACCTGACCCACCTCTGTTCTTTATAAATACCAGTCTGAGGTACTGGATTATCTCAGCCTGACTAGACTAAGACAGAACCTAACTCTCTTTCTGTTATTGATTCCTAGGGTGGGGGTGGTGTTCAGTTTCTACAGTCAATTCTGATACACCAAATGGTATCCAACAGTCGAGTTCTCGAATCAGGTCTCACAGAACTGTTTCACTTCAGATGCCAACCACAGCCAGGTGTGGTTTCACACATCTGTGATCTTTGGGAGGCAGAGACAAATGTTGTAAATAACCTTTTCTGTTTGTTTTCTTTTGGAGACAGTATTTCTCTGGGTAACCCTGGCTGTTCTGTAACCCACTCTGTAGACCAGGCTGACTGGCTCCTGAGTGATGGGATTAAAGATGTTTACCACCATGTCCGGCTGGTAGATTTATCTATTTTAAATTTATTTCAATTTTAATTTGGGTGTTTGCCTATGTTATGGTTTAGGTAAAAATGCTGCAGGTCCCCGAGTGGCTGCAGCGGGCAGCGGGCCATGAGACCACGCTGCAGGTCCCTGAAGTGACAGGGGGCAGCAGGCAGCAGGTCCTGAGAACAGCCAGTCCCAGGCTGAGACAGTGGAGTTCCCCAAGTGACTGCAATAGGTCATGAGGGTCAGCAAGTCCCAGGCACAGAGCCGCAGTCCCAGTGGATGAGAGAGAGAGACATGGATAGGCAAACATGCAGAGTGAGGTTGGATGTTTATTTAGTGGGTTATGGAGGCAAAAGGGGAGAAGGGAAGAAGAGCAAAGAGAAAGAGGCAGAGAGCCGGGCGGTGGCGCACGCCTTTAACCCGAGCACTCGGGTGTTGCGTGAGGTCCTTCCACTCCTCCAGCCAATAGCCGCTGAGATACCAGCCCATTGGGGCGTGGTCTCTCTCCCTTTAAAAAAGCGGTCACTTCCCTCTCCTCTCTCTTACTTCCTGCTCTGCCTCTGGCGACTAGACTCCCTTCCTGATTGCACAGAGGGCTGTTGTCTGGGACAGTAATCTGTAAGTTTTTTCCCCTTTAAATAAATAACCATTCTATTAATCATAATTCCAAACTGGTGTGGGATTGTTTGTGACTTATGCCTTCGCCTTCATCTGGCACCCAGACGTGGATGACTGAATCCACACAAAGCCTAAGAAGGCTTGGGAAAGAATAGAGTAAAGCATGTTTTCTTGGTAGTAGCAACTTCTTGGGTCTGTTCTGCTTGCTAGAGGCAAGCAAGTGCTCTCATCTAAGAGAGGCTTCCTGACTCAGCTTCAGCTGCAAAACCCTGCAGCTATTAAGAGGTCCTGCCACGAAACACTTAAATGGTGTTGATAAAAGCTGACTGAATGCTTGTTTGTTTTCAGCCGTAGCAGGAAAAAAGTTGTGCTGTTTTAAAATGCCAGTTTTCTGGGCCATCCTGCCAGGACAAACTCTGATTCAGACTCAAGCAGGTAGTCTGACTGAATGTGGTCTGTGAGCAGAATGCTGCAGTTTGCTTGCTGGCAGGGACCTTAAAATGCCGTAGAGTTGTGGCGGTAAACATGGCTACAACCGGTACCTCCGCCATGAGGCTGGAAAGCTAAGGAATGGGCTGGCTCTAGCTGCCAAAGCCACAGCTTTAATCCTACCCATATTGCTCCGTAATTTAAAGGCTCATGTGTTCAGAAAAAGAGAGAGAGATACAGTAAAGAGAGATTCAAAAACAAAAAAAAAAACCCTTTAAATTATTTACAGTGTGTTAAATATATATGCAAGCTAAAAGTTAAAGTTCTTAAAAGTAAAAAAAGGAAGAAAGAGAGTAGTTGGGTGTGGTAGTACACACCTTTAATCCCAACACTTGGAAGGCAGAGGGAGATTGACCTCTGAGACTTCTAGGTGTGGTAGCATGCGCCTTTAACCCCAATGCCTGGGAGGCAGAGACAGAAGGATCTCTGAGAGTTCAAGGACAGCCTGATCTACAGAGTTATTCCAGGTCAAAGATATACAGAGAACCTGTCTCAAAAAGCAAAAAGTAAAAATAAATGAAATAGAGGTTAAAATAAAGCACACAAAGATGGAAAATACACAGAGAATTTTGATACTGTATGCTATTATGCTGTGTTTGAATTGTTTGAATGCTGAGGAAGGAGCAACAGCTGCTAAAAGATATTTGTTTATAAATGCTGCTGAACTAATCCAACATAGATATTTTGAAAATACCTTGACTTCAGAATTTGGATCTAAGGATATGATACTTTGGAAAAGAGATTCTTCTTTTGTTTTCACAGACGATGGCACCCTATGGATTGCTTCCATCCCAATGTGGTATGATGGACCATGTCCTCCTGAAAGGTTGCTGTGAACACCCTCAAAAAATTACTTCACTCAACTGCCAACTGAGATGACCCTGGCACACAGGTTATACCATAAAAGGCCTAAATTATAACGCCCCAATTCAGCAGGAAGCAGTTTGGAGAGAAATAAATGTTACTTTTGGGTTACCCATATTTCTACTGGGTTACCTAAATACTAAAGGCTCCATAACCTCCTCCTCAGATCCAGCAGATGTACTAGAACAAGTCACAGGATTTGTGCAAACACTTTCCTGACATTTACCAGTAAATGGATATAAAGGATATACAAATGTGTAGCCGAACGGAAGAAGTGACTAGGGAGCAGCAGCTGGGGAGGAGGTGTGAAGCTTCACTGGGCACCCAACACCACCCAGCACTTCTGAGTATTCAGTAACCTAAAGGCCTGGGAGACTCATGGTTCATGAGTTCTGTTTATTTATGCTGTCCTGGCACTCATTCTGTAGACCAGGCTGGCCTTGAACTCACAGAGGTCGGCCTGCCCTTTGCCTCTGCCTCCCAAGTGTTCAAGAGCGTTATCTAGTGGTTACTGTTGTCTACATGGTCTCTGGGATTGTGTGTAAACCACCTTGTTTGGTCAAGGTTTTAGAACCCACTCTCTAGGCTCCTCCTCCCCCAGTCTCTAATTATATATTTGGTCTTCCTGGTAATCATGCCAGTCCTAAAGCTATCTATGGGATTTTATTAGCATAAACTCAGATATGATAGAAAGTGGATCATTATAAATAAGGAACATGATTCTTTAAAGATCCAGATTTTAGGAGCTCTGTCCCAGAAACCCATGACAAACATATATGTGTGTGTGTTTGATATCATATTTGTGAAATACATATTTATGTAATATTTTAATTATACCACAGATCCCATAGCTTGCCATTCATTTTTTCACCATAGTTGCTTATATACAAATTAGCTAAACAGAAGGTAGTGATAGGATTAGAACACGTGTTGCTACAGAGATCCTCAAATCTGGTTCTAAATTAGATAAATATGCAAATTAGGCAACCCTCCCACAGGGAAACTGATAAGATATTGTGGTCACCACACCACCAGGACTTCAGACTGGCAGTTCAGGTTGTCCTGTGCTCCTACCTCGCCTCTATATACCCAGAATAAGGACCAGGAATATGACAGAAAAGGGCAAGGAGAGTCAGAAAGGTTTAAGCAACCGACCCAGAGTCACACAGAGACACAGGGTCAGAGGTAGGTGGAATACACAAGTCTAAAGCCTGCAGTCCCCTGTAGCAGGTAGTTGCTTCCTGTGGTATGATTTTCTTCCTGTTGATCACACACACAGATTCCACCCAAGCTAGTGTCCTCAACAGCACTTCAGTCTTGGGAACGAGGCCGGTGAGCAGTCTGCTCCACGCTGAAGCCAGGTTTACCCCTGGAGACAGAACTAAAATTAAGACTGCTAGGTTTCAGCCCACCCCCAACTCATAGATGGAGCTCTGGGCCAGCTGGGAGTCAGCATGCAGCTCCACCCCTGTTCTCCAGACCTAGTTGCTTTACCTCTCCGTGCCTTCACCCTTGTGCTCTCAAAAGCTCGGGCTCACAGACAGCTCAAAGCAGTTGGAATCTGAGACTTTCACAATCATCTTAATAAAAGCAGAGGGAGCTCACGGGAGACTAGATGGGTGCTGTGATAGCTTTGTTATGCCTGTTTAAGCGATAGCTTATCCTGGTGGATTATTCCCTTAACAATCTCGTGACAAAAGTCAATCTGCCCAGGTTGGGAAACTCCAATGCCCCCAGGGAGTAGATTGAGGACATCAAAATTCTTTTGGGAGGCTCTGCTTTGAGGAGGGTTATGAGGAAGTTTTTATTGACTGACTTGCAAATGTCCTCGGTTCAAATAATCCTTCTGGCACGGTGGCACATCTTGTACTTCCCATCATTCCAGGCAAAGAGGAGGGTAGGAAAGAATGGGTGCCCATCAGTTTCCCAGCCACTGTCCAGTGCCTCCTACCTGGAGGAAGTTCAGCTCTCTGCTGGTTTCTGCTCCTTAGCAGAGTGCTCAGGGGCAGAGAGTCGTTCTATCTCTTCCAAGCTGAGGCAATGTGGTTGCTTCAGGCTACCACAGGAGAACTCATCCTAGGATCTGAGCTGGGATAGGGGCACTACTGGATGATGAAACCCATGATTAAAGATCTAGTCATTTTCTAAGTCTTCATAGCAGGGCTAAGGTCCCTCAGAATGAGGAACTTCGTGATGCTGTACCTCTGCAGTGTTGTGCAAAACAGTAGTACACCCAACATATGTGACTCTCGTGAGTCATTATTTAAACATCTCTCCTCTACATGGTTACACACAAAAGATCACGAAACTAAGCAAAGAGGTTTCATAATTGTTGTGGCCTGGATGTGGGCGTGTCTCACAGGTCCATATGTTAAAACCTAATTCCCAAAGTGGTAATACTAAGAGATAGTGTGATAAACTCTTTTTGTCTATCAAAGGTGGCTAATATTCCATAAATCTCCCTCACCTTTTATGCTTTTTAGGCAAATATTTTAATCTCCCCCACTAAGATTTTTATTTACTTAAAGGTTCTATTGCATTTCAGGAACTTGATGAGCCAGGGTAGCCAACCCCTTTGTTCTTCCTTCCATTTCCTCCCCTCCAATTTCCAAATCACTAATCAGTACACCATGGAGTTGAATTTCATTCATCCAGTGACAAACAGCTAAGCTCCTCTTGTATTAGAGGTAAAAGATAAAGGCCATTGTGGCCATGCATACTGCTTGCCAGTACAACTGGGTTGTGGTACACCCTTTTGACAAAAAGAAAGTGCCTTGCCAGGTTACATTTGCTCTGTTTGGGTGCTTTTTGTCCAACACGGAGACTATTCTCTCCCAGTAACAGGCATTTGAGGAGTGAGTAAACCATGACAGCTCAGCTCTCGTGAATATAATTAGTGCTCTTTGTCAGCTCTCAAAGAAACTGAACAAGATTCACTCTGTACCTGTGGCTCCTCCCAGCACTCCTCGCCCCTCCTCCCCTAAACCTCCCCTTCCCAGGGGCTGGGCTTCCTTTCCTTCCCCGAGCCTGATCCCTAGATAAGGCAGCCATTTTGACTAAGAGGCAGCTCCTCTCTTGCTCTCCCTCCCCCCTCAACTCTCATGGTCCTGTTTAGTCAGCCAGCCATGTTCAGCCTGGACTCTTCCCTCTGCCTGACTTCTCCCTTATGGCTACAATAAAAATCCTGTCCTTGCTTTAGGAGTAGTCATGTCACCCTCCTCCTTTCATTTTATTTTTCCATCCACTTTTTTTTTTGTAATATAATAAAAGGGTTTGGGGAAGCTATGTGAGCAAAAATTTCTGTTGTTTGTATGTAGGAAGAGGAGCTGCTTGTTTGGTTCCTGGCCACCTTGCAACCTTAGACTCAGAATAATCACACAGAAACTGTATTATTTAAAACACTGATTGGCCCATTAACTCTAACTTCTTATTGGCTAACTCTTACATCTTAATTCAACCCATTTCTATTAATCTGGCCTACCAGCAAAGTTCCAGCACGTCTATCTCTGGTGGCAGATCCATGGCATCTCCTGACTCTGCCCTTCTTTTCTCCCAGCATTCAATCCAGTCCTTCCTGCCTACCTAAATTCTGCCCTAGCAAGAGGCCAAGGCAGTTTCTTTATTCATTAATGGTACTCACAGCACAC